CGGGGGTGCTGGGTGTCACCGGGTGTCACCGGGTGTCACTGGGGGTGCTGCGTGTCACCGGGTGTCACCGGGTGTCACCGGGTGTCACGGGGGTGCTGGGTGTCACTGGGTGTCACCGGGTGTCACCGGGTGTCACGGGGGTGCTGGGTGTCACCGGGTGTCACCGGGTGTCGCCGGGGCGGCGCCGCCCTCACGGCCGCTCCCCGCAGGGCTGCTGCCGACGCCCAACCTCTTTCAGCTACCTCAGCAGAGCGCCGGCGGCCTCCTGGCCGCACAGCCCCGCGCGGGGCTGCCCGCACAGGTGACACCGCGGCGCGGACAGCCGCACCGGCGGCTGTAGGCACGGCGGGTGTAGGCACGGCGGGTGTAGGCACAGTGTAGGCACAGCGGGTGTAGGCACGGTGTAGGCATGGCGGGTGTAGGCGTGGCGGGTGTAGGCACAGTGTTGGGTGCAGGCATGGCGGGTGTAGGCGCGGCGGGTGTAGGTATGGTGTTGGGTGTAGGAATGGCGGGTGTAGGCATGGCGGGTGTAGGTATGGTGTTGGGTGTAGGAATGGCGGGTGTAGGCATGGCGGGTGTAGGCGTGGCGGGTGTAGGCACGGTGTTGGGTGCAGGCACGGCGGGTGTAGGCACAGCAGGGGTGGTGGCAGTGGTGGCCATGTGGTGGTGGTGGTGGTGACAGTGGTGGTTGTGGAGGTGATTACATGGTGGTGGTTGTGCTGCTGGTGGTTGTGGTGGTGGTTGTGATGGTGGTGGTTGTGACAGTGGTGGTTGTGGTGGTGGTTAGATGGTGGTTAGATGGTGGTGGTGGTGCTGGTGGTGGTCAGATGGATGGTGGTGGTTGTGGTGACAGTGGCGGTTGTGGTGGTGGTTGTGATGGTGGTGGTGGTTGTGGCGGTGGACGTGGTAGTTGTGGTGGTTGAGGTGGTTAAATGGTAGTGCTGGTTGTGATGGTGGTGGTGGTTGTGATGGTGGTGGTGGTTGTGGTGGTGGTTAGATGGTGGTGGTGGTTGTGGTGGTGCTTGTGGTGGTGGTTAGATGGTGGTGGTGGTTGTGGTGGTGGTTGTGCTGCTGGTGGTTGTGGTGGTGGTGGTTGTGGTGGTGGTTAGATGGTGGTGGTGGTTGTGGTGGTGGTTGTGGTGGTGGTTGCGGTGCTGCTGGTGGTTGTGGTGGTGGTTACCTGGTGGTTAGATGGTGGTGGTTAGATGGTTGTGGTGCTGGTGGTGGTGCTGGTGGTGGTCACACGGTGGTGCTTGTGGTGACAGTGGGGGTTGTGGTGGGGGTTAGATGGTGGTTGTGGTGGGGTTAGATGGCTGTGGTGGTTGTGGCAGTGGTTGGATGGTGCTGGTGGTGCTGGTTGTGGTGACAGTGGCGGTTATGGTTATGATGATAGTGATGATGATGATGGCGATGATGATAGTGATGATGATGATACTAATACTGATAATGATGGTGTTGCTCATGGTGATGGTCATGGCAATGATGATGATGGCGATGATGATGGCGATGATGGTAGTAGCGATGGTGATGATGGCAATGGTGATGCTGCTGATACTGATGATGCTGGCGATGATGATGATGCTGGAGATGATGACGACGATGGCAATGCTGCTGCTGCTGCTGATGATGATGCTGGCGATGATGATGCTGATGGCAATGATGATGATGCTGGCAATGATGATGCTGATGGCAATGATGATGATGATGATGGTGATGATGATGACGATGGCAATGATGATGATGCTGGTGATGATGATGCTACTGATGATGATGCTGATGGCAATGATGATGATGATGATGATGCTGGCAATGATGACGACGATGGCAATGATGATGATGCTGGTGATGATGATGCTGGCAATGATGATGATGATGATGATGCTGGCAATGACGATGCTGATGGCAATGATGATGATGCTGGTGATGATGATGCTGGTGATGATGATGATGCTGGTGGTGATGATGATGATGATGCTGGCAATGATGATGCTGATGGCAATGATGATGATGCTGATGGCAATGATGATGATGCTGGTGGTGATGATGATGATGCTGGTGATGATGGTGATGATGATGATGGCAATGACGATGCTGATGGCAATGATGATGATGCTGGCGATGATGATGATGATGCTGGTGGCGATGATGATGATGATGCTGGCAATGATGATGCTGATGGCAATGATGATGATGCTGATGGCAATGATGATGATGCTGGTGATGACGATGATGATGATGCTGGTGATGATGATGATGATGATGCTGGTGATGATGATGATGCTGGNGATGATGCTGGTGATGATGATGATGATGATGCTGGTGATGATGATGATGCTGGCAATGACGATGCTGATGGCAATGATGATGATGCTGGTGATGATGGTGATGATGATGCTGGTGGCGATGATGATGATGATGCTGGCAATGATGATGATGATGATGATGCTGGCAATGCTGATGCTGATGGCAATGATGATGATGCTGGTGATGATGATGATGATGATGCTAGTGCTGCTGCTGCTGCTGGCAATGCTGCTGCTGCTGCCGCTGGCGGTGCTGGTGGTGACGGCGCCGCCGCCGCAGGCAGCGCCGCGGCCGGGGCTGCCCGAGTGCCCCGGGGCGCCCCCCAAGTGCGTGGAGGCGGCGCCGGGCGAGGAGCCCAGCGACCTGGAGGAGCTCGAGCAGTTCGCCCGCACCTTCAAGCAGCGCCGCATCAAGCTGGGCTTCACCCAGGTAGCGCCCGCGCGGCGCCGCGCGCTGGGAGCGCTGGGAGGTGCTGGGAGGGGTTGGGAGGTGGCGGGGGAGTGGGGAGAAGTGTTAGGAGCATTGGGAGGAGGGATGGGAACATTGGGAAGTGGTGGGATCAGCACTGGGATGAGCGTTGGGATGAACATTGGGATGAACATTGGGCTTAGCGGTAGAATGAGCGTTGGGATGAGCATTGGATGAACGTTGGGAGGGCCGTTGGGAAGTGTTGGGAAGAGCATTGGGGTGAGCACTGGGATGAGCGTTGGGATGAGCGTTGGGATGAAGATTGGGCTGAGCGTTGGGATAAGCATTGGGATGAACAGTGGGATGAATGTTGGGATGAACATTGGGATGAGCGTTGGGAAAAGCACTGGGATGAGCGTTGGGATGAACATTGGGATGAACGTTGGGATGAGTGTTGGGCTGAGCCTTAGGCAGAGCATTGGGCTGAGTGTTGGGATGAACATTGGGCAGAGCGTTGGACTGGGCTTTGGGATGAGCGTTGGGATGAACATCGGGATGAGCACTGGGATAAGCGTTGGGCTGAGCGTTGGGCAGAGCATTGGGAGGGCCATTGGGATGAGCCCTGAGCTGAGCGTTGGGATGAACATTGGGATGAGCACTGGCATGAGATGTGGGATGAACACTGGGAGGGCCATTGGGCTGAGTGTTGGGCTGGGCATTGGGATGAGCATTGGGATGAACACTGGGATGAGCACTGGGATGAGCACTGGGATGAACGTTGGGATGAACGTTGGGATGAACATTGGGATGTGCATTGGGATGAACGTTGGCATGTGCGTTGGGATGGGCATTTGGATGAATGTTCGGAGGGCCATTGGGAAGTGTTGGGATGAACACTGGGATGAATGTTGGGATGAACGTTGGGATGAACATTGGGATGAACACTGGGATGAATGTTGGGCTGAGCCTTGGGCAGAGCATTGGGCTGAGTGTTGGGATGAACATTGGGCAGAGCGTTGGACTGGGCTTTGGGATGAGCGTTGGGATGAACATTGGGAGGAGCATTGGAATGAGCTTTGGGATGAGCGTTGGGAGGAGCGTTGGGCTGAGCACTGGGCAGAGCATTGGGCTGGGCGTGGGGAGGGCCATTGGGATGAGCACTGGGCTGAGCGTTGGGATGAGTGTTGGGAGGGCCGTTGGGATGAGCACTGGGATGGGCGTTGGGATGAGCGTTGGGAGGGCCGTTGGGCTGAGCACTGGGCAGAGCATTGGGCTGGGCGTGGGGAGGGCCGTTGGGATGAGCACTGGGATGGGCGTTGGGATGAGCGTTGGGAGGGCCGTTGGGATGAGCACTGGGCTGAGCGTTGGGATGAGCGTTGGGAGGGCCGTTGGGCTGAGCGTCGGGCTGGGCGCGGGGCCGAGGGGACCCCGTGGGGCAGCCCCCCACGGCGGGTGCCCAGCGGCCCCGTGGCGCCCCCGCCAGGGCGACGTGGGGCTGGCCATGGGGAAGCTCTACGGCAACGACTTCAGCCAGACGACCATCTCGCGCTTCGAGGCGCTCAACCTCAGCTTCAAGAACATGTGCAAGCTGAAGCCGCTGCTGGAGAAGTGGCTCAACGACGCCGGTGAGCCCCGTGTCACCGGCCCCGCTGTCCCCAATGTGCCAGTGTCACCGTCCCCGCTGTCCCCAACGCACCGGTGTCACTGTCCCTGCTGCCCCCAACACACCGGTGTCACTGCTGTCCTCAACGTGCCCGTGTCACCGCTGTCCCCAACACGCCGGTGTCCCTGCTGTCCCCAATGCACCGGTGTCACCGTCCCTGCTGTCCCCAACACGCTGCTGTCAACGCTGTCCCCAACGTGCCGGTGTCGCTGTCCCCGCTGTCCCCAACACACCGGTGTCACCGTCCCTGCTGTCCCCAATGCACCAGTGTCACAGTCCCCGCTGTCCCCAATGCGCCGGTGTCTCTACTGTCCCCAATGCGCCACTGTCATCTTCCCCGCTATCCCCAATGCACCAGTGTCACCATTGTCCCCAACGCGCCAGTGTCACTGTCACCACTGTCCCCAACATGCCGGTGTCACTGTCCCCGCTGTCCCCAGCGCACCGGTGTCCCCGCTGTCCCCAACGCACCAGTGTGACCGTCTCCGCTGTCCCCAACACACCGGTGTCCCCGCTGTCCCCAACGCACCGGTGTCGCTGTCCCCGCTGTCCCCAACGCGCCGGTGTCGCCGTCCCCGCTGTCCCCCGCAGAGACCATGTCGGTGGACTCCAGCCTGCCCAGCCCCAACCAGCTGAGCAGCCCCGGGCTGGGCTTCGAGGGGCTGCCCGGGCGGCGCCGCAAGAAGAGGACCAGCATCGAGACCAACGTGCGCTTCGCCCTGGAGAAGAGTTTCCTGGCGGTGAGCGGTGGGGCCGGCCCCGGGCAGCGCGTGCGGGGCGGCCCCGCGGCGCCGCTCACGGCCCCGCGCCCCCAGAACCAGAAACCTACCTCAGAGGAGATCCTGCTCATCGCCGAGCAGCTCAACATGGAGAAGGAGGTGATCCGCGTGTGGTTCTGCAACCGGCGCCAGAAGGAGAAGCGCATCAACCCCTGCGGCGGCGGCGGGGCCGCGCCGGCCAAGGCGCCCGCCTACGGCGCCCACGCGGTGGGTCCCGCGGCGCCCCGACCCTCGGGGCCGCTCGTGGTCGGCTGGTGGGCGGCTCTATGGGGGGTGGGTCTGGGGGCCTGGAGGTGCCCAGCTCCCCATGGGGACCTTGGGGTTCCCATAGGGACCTCGGGGATCCCATAGGGACACGGAGGTGCCCAGCTCCCCATGGAGACCTTGGGGTTCCCATAGGGACCTTGGGGATCCCATAGGAACATGGAGGTGCCCAGCTCCCCATGGGGACTGTGGGGTTCCCGTAAGGACCTCAGGGATTCCATAGGGACCTGGAGGTCCCTAGCTCCCCATACGGACCATGGGGTTCCCATGGTCCTCAGGTTTCCCGTAGTGACCTGCAGGTCCCCAGCTGCTTATAGGGACAATGGGGTTCCCATAGGGACCATGAAGATCCCATAGAGACCTAGAGGTCCCCATTTTCCCATGGGGACCGTGGGATTCCCATAGGGACATGGAGGTCCCCAGCTCCCTATAGGGACTGTGGGGTTCCCAGGGGGACCATGAAGATCCCATAGGGACATGGAGGTCCCCAGCNTCCCATAGGGACATGGAGGTCCCCAGCTCCCTATAGGGACTGTGGGGTTCCCAGGGGGACCATGAAGATCCCATAGGGACATGGAGGTCCCCAGCTCCCTATAGGGACCATGGGGTTCCCAGGGGGACCATGAAGATCCCATAGGGACCTCGAGGTCCCCAGCTCCCCATAAGGACCATGGGGTTCCCATAGGGACCTCAAGGCACCCATCTCCCTACAGGGACTGTGAAGATCCTATGGGGACCTCAAGGTCTGTTGTCCCTGTCCCCACATGGCCTCTGGTGTCCCCTCTCCCCATATGGCTCCTGATGTCCCCACATGGCCCCCAATGCCCCCTGTCCCCACATGGCCCCTGGTGTCCCCTGTCCTCATATGGCTCCTGATGTCCCCACATGGCCCCGATGTCCCCGCATGCACCCGATGTCCCCATCCCTCCTGTGTCCCCAATGTCCCCCGCTGTCCCCTGTCCCCAAGTGTCACCTCTCTCTGCTCCAGGTGACCAGTCCTGGCGGGAGCCTCCCGCTCTCCCAGATCCCCAGCAGCCTGAGCACAACAGGTCAGTGCCCCCATG